CACGATGAAGCACAAAGTCTCCAAGAGAGTCATTTCTCTCAAATGGGTTCCTTTTCTCTGCATCTCTTTCTTCGCTCTCGGAGCTATTTTCACCTTCAGGTCTCTTAAAGTTTCAATCTTTTCTTCTCCCTTCGTTTCTCCTTGTACTTATCGTCAAAACTTGTCCTTTCTTCGGTTTTCTTAATGGGGATTTTTTTCCAATTCTTCAGGTCATCGGAGCCGTCGTGGGATTCCGGAAATCAGCTAGTTTCACAGCGCCGTCGTGATCATGAACTTCAGATTGTATCAGACGATTGTGCTCATAAGAAAGTATGCATCTTGATTCCATTTAGTAGCTTACTTTCGAGTTTCATGAAAGTTCTGTTTTGAAAGTTCAAATTTTTGTTTGATTGAATCAAAGAGTTTAGGGATTCTACCAATTTTAATGATTGATTCATAGTTTTTGTGAGTTTGACCAAATGATTTCAAATAGATTTGGGTTTTAATCATCCGATTCACTCGAATGCAGAAAGAAACACAAGAGAAAGATGTAATGGATGAAGTATTAAGAACTCATGAAGCAATACAGTGAGTGAGAAGATTTGAGTTTTATTTCATTTGTAAATCAGCTTTGCGTTGTCTCTTTATGTTATAGCTTTACTCTGTGTCTTTTGGAGGGTTGACAGGTCATTGGATAAGTCAGTTTCCACGCTTCAAATGCAGTTTTCTTCTACAAGGACCTCCTCTCAAGAGACGGTTGATAGATCGGAAACAACCACCTCTTTAACGGGAGCTAAACCGAGGAAAAAAGTGTTCATGGTTATGGGAATTAATACCGCATTTAGCAGTAGAAAACGGCGTGATTCAGTCAGAGAAACATGGATGCCTCAAGGTATTGCAGATTTAGTGATCATCTCCTTAATCTAATACGGTTGTTCGTTGCATCTCGATTCTAGTTAATATATGTGCATATGTTACAGGGGAGAAGCTTGAAAAATTGGAAAAAGAGAAAGGGATTGTGATTAAGTTCATGATTGGACACAGGTGAAGCTGCTTTCTCTTTCTTTTAGAGTTTTACTTATTCGAGGAATTCGTGTATCTTTATCTTGAGATTGACTTGAGTGTATACAATTCTATTGGCAGTGCGACATCAAATAGCATTTTGGATAGAGCTATTGATTCAGAAGATGCTCAACACAAAGACTTCCTTAGGCTGGTGAGACAATGGACACTGAATTCTTCTAAGAAAGTATGCAATTTTTTTTCACTTTTCTTTATGTTTAAAACTCTTATTGGTTACAGGAGCATGTTGAAGGATATCATGAACTCTCTGCAAAAACCAAAATATTCTTTTCCACTGCAGTAGCGAGATGGGATGCAGAGTTCTATATCAAGGTTGATGATGATGTTCATGTCAATCTCGGTAAGAAAACATGATTCTACTCTATTCTTTTGCTGCTATCTCGTTCAATGGCAGCAATCAAAAATGATATATTTGCCTTTCAGGTATGCTTGCTTCCACACTTGCCCGTCATCGCTCAAAGCCGAGGGTCTATATTGGGTGTATGAAATCAGGACCTGTTCTTGCTCTAAAGTAATTCCATTTGCCGGAGTCCAGCTTCAAATATTTCTGATGTTTTTGTTAAGAGTATTGTTAAATTAGTTTATTAAAAACTGTTTCAGGACAGTGAAGTACCATGAACCTGAGTATTGGAAATTTGGAGAGGATGGTAACAAATACTTTCGACATGCTACAGGACAGATCTATGCCATCTCCAAGGATCTTGCCAATTACATATCCGTCAACCAGTACGTAATTCGACATCCTTATTATAAAGAGCCTCCCAGCTTCATTTCTGTATAACATCATAGGTTTGTGACTTTGTTCTAAAAGGTTTAAACTTTGTGTGCAGGCCGATTTTGCATAAGTATGCAAATGAAGATGTGTCTTTGGGGTCATGGTTTATCGGACTTGAGGTTGAACATATTGACGACCGGAACTTTTGTTGTGGGACTCCTCCAGGTAAAAGCTCAATCACATCACACAAACAAAATTAAGCCATCTCCCTCATAACTCTCTTGTGTCTGATGGTTATTTTGTTTTCTTTAACATCCCCATAGATTGTAGATGGAAGGCAGAGGCGGGCGATGTGTGTGTAGCGTCATTCGAATGGAGCTGCAGTGGGATTTGCAAGTCGGTAGAGAGAATGAAGATAGTCCATGAAGTGTGTAGTGAAGGAGAAGGTGCTGTTTGGAATGCACTTCTCTAAAACATACAATCACAACTTTGACTAAAAGCTGAAAAAAAGAGAGAGATTGGAAGGAGATGGCAAATTTTGTAAAGTACCAAAAGTATACAAATCGCATACTAGAGAAAATATCAATGACCTTAAATGCAGAATGTTTTAACATATGAGCAAAAGAATCTTTAATGGCTTCGTTAGAGAAGCAATTTCTGAACTTTGTTTTAAGATTTAACAGTTCAACAATTTTACTTTGTTCTTCTCCTACTTTAGTTAGACACTCTTAAACAGAATCAATATTAATGTATCCATAGACCATGAGGTAAAATGAGCAATTAACGTGTTAAGAAAATGCAAAACTAAAGAATTTTTAGACAACTATTATTCCCTGTCAGATTTTAGACACAATAATGAAGTATTTACACTTATGCAACCCTATTTTTTTCTCCACTTCTTTATACAAACAGAATTACAAGTGAGTATCCTTCTTTTATAAGGTCATAGGGAAGCCTTTTTCTCACAACCCTGAATCCAATCTGAAGCCTTTTTACTTTACTCTCAAATCTCAAACATTACCATAGGCACAGTTTGTTTCGAGTACCCAAAAGCTTCACAATAGCCTTTTAGCTGAGTCTCACTCGCAGCCACGGCTCTTTTGTAGCAATACCATCTGTTCTTTTTTTTGGCTTTAAGCCAGTTGGTGAATCCTGGTTAGGGCGCAGAAGGCAATGTCCACCAATGGGGAGTATCTTAATTGGGTAAAGAGCAATGAGCCCAAAACGCGTGTTCTCAAGCTTTACCCGTCTTTACCTGACCGATCACCTGAAGAGGCCTTCTGGTTGGTTGGCTTTTCAGATGAAGTTGTCTTCTGCTTGCCCGGCTTTTCCTCTTGAAGGCAATCAACAGGAACATAAAAGTATCCCTTTGGGAGCCGCCGGTTCTTGAAAGAAGCTTCATCCGATGTCATCACAAGCTCCTTCGCAAATGTTTCTACATGCTGCTATTATCAGTTATCAAGGCAAACAAGTATAAGATCCCAATGAATGTGTTGAGCTGAGTTGAGCAGAAAGAGTCGAACTTACAATGCATGTAACTTAGGACAAAGAGATTCTTCTCACCTTCTTGGGCTTTGAGCCTTTATCTCCATCCTCTGAAACACTAGGCGAGACTATACAATGTTTACGGGGAACGGTTTTCCCAGACAATGTTTGTCTTTCAGTTGGCTTACGGGAAAGCCGACTCTTTGAAGTAGCACTATCGTCGGTTTTCTGATCAGTGTCCATTATAATGGGACCTTTGCCTCTGCGCTTAACAGACACTGTGCTGTCAATGGTGATATCATCTGACCTCTGTATTGCTTCACTGCCAGATATATTACTATCTGGATGGCCTTTTATTGATGTCGTAGCTGAGTCCGACGAAACTTCTGGAGGAGAAAATAGATTACGGACAGGTAAAGAACGTGCGGCATGATCCCTTTTGGCAGCAAGTATTTCATGTGAGGAAATAGCCAACTCTCGCTGCAAATATACCATACCAGTAAACAGTCAAGCCTCCATTTATTTTATTTTTAGTGAAAGGAAGATGTAAAGTTTACGTAGTTTAACTTACTTTTAACTTCTCCCTCTTGACTATCCGTTCGCACAGAAGGCGTAACCTCTCAAGTTCAACCTGGAAGAGATTTAATTTCAAGAATTAATTATAATTTGATAAGAGATATAAAAGAATACGCTTAACACGACAATGGAAAAATCATATTGCCTTCGCTAAGAACTCTTACCCTATAATGCTTGAGACTTTTCAGCTCCTCTGCCCCGTGTTTCTGAGATTCGGCCTACAAACACAACAAGACAAATATAAGCAACCTTACGATGCAAGTAGAGGCCATCATGAAGCTGACTAAAGAGATGACTAATAAGACCTTTGCCTTCTGTTCCAAGCTGTGCTTCTCACAGTAAGCCTTATGTGGAGGTTTCCCACCACCAGTCATATGAAAGCCAGCACTTCTGGCACAGGAGGGGTGAAATGTTGTCTGGCAGTTACCATAACTACACTGCAAAATCATAACACAAGCTTTCCCTCAATCTTTGTCCCAATACTTGAGATAGATGTCTTCAGATAAAAAAGCCAGAAAAGGTGAGTACCTTAATGCACGAACCATGTGTCTGTTGGCATACACAGCAAGTGTCTACGTTCTTGGCCAGAGACTCCTAATGAGGCACACCATACATTAATCAAGCTTTAGCATTTCTAAACACCATAAAACATGTTAGTGAATCTGCATTATAGTAATAAACCCACCACTCCCTGCACAGGATTTATTTGCCCCCTTCTGAAGGTGGATTCCAAGGACCACTGCAAGAAATTAAGTACCAACTTATTTGACATGTTCGTTACTGGATATAGTACTCAAGACACTACTGTAGAAGAAATTTTCACCTCCGCACAAAATGCATGTATCCACTCTTCGTTTGTGGCTTTCCTAAAAGCCCCAGTTGTGCCACCACATACAGCACACGCTGTCGAAGAACAAGGTTTTTCCCAAAAATTGGAAGAAGGTTCTGAAGCTGACTCCGCACATAGTTCACAGTACCAAGGACCAGTTGATTCTTTAGCACATTTGTAACAATCCATGTGAACAGCTACCTGTAATTAGGGTCAGATACCATACCTTGATAAAAATTGTCCCTAGAATAGAACATTATGCCTTCAATAAAGATTAGAATAAATCGCAGGAAAATGTGTATGACCTTGCAACTAGAGCACACTACAATCAGGTTCCATATAGTTTCAGACCGTCTGCAGATGTCACACGTCCGTGGATTTTCTACTGAAGACTCTGCTGCACGATGATCAGACCGCTTCTCAGTTGGTGGTCCGGTGACAACCATCTTTAAAAGTGTTTCCTTTGTCTGTGGCACTAGGTGAGAGTTGCCAGCAACTTTACGTCTAGAAGTGTTCATCTGTCCGATTTATAACCAGTACGAATGACATAGGATAAGAAACATTTCACAGATAAAATTAATACATGGAGGAAAAAGTATAATCATAGCAACAAAAACAACCTCTTGTTGCGCAGGTTCTTCTGACATATCTTTCCTGAGTGATGTATTCCTAGAAGATGTTGCTGCTGCAGCAGTAGCAGCAGCTAGAACAGCCTGGGCTTGTTTGTGTCTTTTCTCTTTCCTACCTTGCTTTCTTGCTTCTCTGACATCATGGAAATACTTGTTGACCAGAACATCATCCCATCTTCGTCCATGTTGTTCATCAATCTCCAGAGGCAGCTTTTTGGCAACTTCATAGACTATATTGTCTGCGAAAAGAGACCAGTTTTAGAATACTAAAACAGAAATTATACAAACATGAAGAACAATGCAAGTAACAATGGTCAATAAAATCACCAGATAGTTGCTTTCTTGAAACTGCCGTGCCAAGTAACTGCAGCTGATGATATAGAAGTTCTCCTTCCACTTCATCTTCAGGAGACAGATCCAGTATGCCCAATTCCCTAGCTTTAGATAACTGACAAAATGCATCTCCGCAGTCTCCACTCTGACTTTGGTGATTACGACAGATAGTGTGATTGCCAGCGCCTTGCAGATGTTTGTTTCCTTCTTCAGAGCCTGCCAAATGTTTTAATGTTACCAATTGTCCTCAAAGTTGTGGCATAGATCAAAAAGTGTATACCGTCAGGTTTGGTTGTCATCCCATCCACATCAGAATTCGTGCTGCTTTTCAGGGTTTTCCCCTTGCCCATTTCTGACAGTTCTTTGCGGATATAAGGATGAGGACTGAAACTAGGATATGCTTCATGATTACTGCATCACCATAGATTAACAAAAAACCGATTTAGTAGGCAGAATGTTTATGTAGTCTACCAATTGCGTGTTCGGAACTTACAGGAGATCCAAGATAATGGGGCTTGGACAGTTCACATTTCCACGATTCGGAGAACTATTTGGCCCCAAGGAAAAGTCATTCTCCAGCATGACTCCAGAAGAATTTGAGTTTGATTGTTCTCCATGATCATCTAAGCAAGAGTTTAAAACAAGATCGGTAAAAAGATAATTAATAAGTGTAATAAAAATTGGACGATGAAGTGACATCCTCGATAGAAAAAATTCCAAGCAACTAAGTAAAACAAAAGAAGAAGATACTAGAAACTAACAAGAAAAAAATGCTAAAGTACAAGCTTGGAGGATAGTACATTGGATATGCAAGGAAAAATAGTGAAAGTTTGAAGAACATACCAGAAAGATGAACTGAACTTTTTCCGAGATTAACTTCCTGATCAAGCACCACCGATTTCTGCATATGAGAAACATGGCACAACATCATATATCGCATCACAAACGGTCCTTTTACATTAAAAAAAAACCGCAGTTGTGTTTGAACCTTGGTGACAGGTCAAAAAAGCCTTTGATAACAAGTAGCAACTTTTAGTGATGCGAAACATGGGAAAGCATATAGCTTTAAGAAAAAACTATTCAAAACATAACATTGTGTTGAGATTGGAAGATTACCTGTTCTTCTGGAGAATGATCAGAAGCCAAATTCACACTTCTTTCTTTCTTCAAACCTGGTCTACTAGCTTTAGCTTCATCAACCACAATACCATTACCAGTACCATTTTCAGCAGAGGTACAGATCGTATTATTTGTATTGTTATTACAAATATTGCTTTCAAGTGTTCGCTCCAAAGAAAAAGCCTTTGAGACAACAGGATCTAAGATATCAGAATCTAACATCTCCATGCCTTCAGTACAGATAGCTGCCTGACGCTCAGATTTTGTAGTGCTCTTACTTTTAACATTTTCGCCTTTATTCCGAGAACCCATGTGTGCATGCTGGCTAAGCCATTTAACTATCTTGCTTAGTAAATCAGGTGACAAGTCTCCTTCCTGTAGCACAAAACTTTGAAATCAATATACAGAAACCCACAATGAGAACACAAAGGTTTTAAGAATGTATATGAGAAGTTTTACGCGTTACCGCAAGTTTGGCACTCAAAGCATCAGGATTGACCCCAATATCTGCAGCCACATCCTTCACATCCACTTTCCCCAGGTCGATCAACTAAACAAATGTCAATCAGTGAACAAGAGGGTCAACAGGTTTAGATAATCCAACTAAATAATATGCATACCTTTTTCAGAATCAATCCAAAACTAAGAGACTCAGACAGCGTTCTTTCATTATCATTGCTTCTCCCAGACATATCTGATTCTACATAGTCTGTTGCAGACCAGTTAAATTTTGAATGCGGTGATTCTAGTTCTCGCAGCTCACTGTTTCTCGAAATATCAGAACCTGTACCAGGTGTTCCTACGTCAACTCCCATCTCATCATTACTTAGGTGACCTTCTCTAACAGATTCTGATGGAAGATGACATGCAGGAGAACGACTATCAGCTGCATTACTTTCTCCTCCAGCTATGGACCTTCCACTTTCTTGAGTATCTGAATGCTTTGAGCAGAAAGCTCGCAGTTCAACCTACAAGTTTCTTATGTTAAAGAAAGAAACAGCACTAATGTCTATGATTCCGTTCTGTAAGTAATGAAACTTACAGTAGCACACCCATGTTTTCCCCAGACCTCTAGCCTATTCCCTGCCTCTCTTGCACATCTAGGATGGAAAGATGTTCGGCATGTTCCTATGATCAAGAGATTGTAATAAAGTATCAATTACTAACCTGATATTCACCAAAGAATGCAGACAAAATAAATTGAATCAAAGAAAAGTGTGACAAGTAGTTCCATGATGTAGCTATCAATTTGGATTAGCAAATCAAGTAAGAACATCAGAAACTGCAGAACGGGGAAAGGTTACGGCCGTTGCCTATTTATTTTAGTTAAGTCCTAGCTGTGTGCAATTTCACTTTCACAGCAACCCAGCATAGCAAAATATTCATATAACAAAAAAATCTAGATGTAAAAGAATTATTTCATCCGGGATGCAATCATCATAAAGTAGCCTAATAAAAAATGAAAACACTCCACTGTGATGAACAATGTCAACAAAGTATTTTCCAGTGAAAAATGATCCAGACAATTGGGTTTTCTGCCGCAGGCAAAGCAAGGACAACGACTGTGAGCACAGCAATAAAGCCAGATGAACCCCAATTTCAGGTGAAATAAAGCATTTTTATAACAGAATAAGATTATAAAGCTATTCTTTCGTTGTAGGCATACTTGTTTGCACAATTGTTAAGTTGTACCAAGGAAGAAGCAACTTAATTAAAATACCCGAACTATACAATTGAACATGTCATTAAGAATATCAATGTTACCCATGCTCAGAAGTAGACTGGATGCACAGAAAGCAACAATACATACCATTACAACACCGAATGCAAGCACCAGATTTCACCTTGCACAAGTTACACAATAGCTTCCTCCGAGTTTCTTTTATTCCAGGCAAATTCAAGATAGGCTCCATTTTTTTGAGGTCTTCTATATAAACCTCAGGCATCCACATAGAACAAAAGAGATGAGCAAACTCCGCCGGCCCACCATTCTCAGTTTTTGAGAGAACAGGTTTCAGAATGCCACCCTTTTTTGGACAAAGCAAGCACGGTCTTTCAGAATCACTACCACCATTCTCCAGCTCACACCAAGAGCACAACCAGGATTTATCTGTATCTTCGACCACACCATAGCATTTTCTATGAACTGTAGCTTTGCAGGAAGTGCAAACAATCAACTGGTGATGATGTTCCTTGGAATCACCAGTGCAGCAAAAATCACATAACAATGCATTCCCTTCACAAGGAGCTGCAACCATTAACTTCCCCAAACCTGCATCACTACCAAGAAGCTTCCGCTTTTTGGAGGGCCTTTCTGAAGCCAACAAAATCCTATTTCTACAACCTAAAACCCATTCTAAACTACCAGAATTGTCAGACGCAGAAGAAATTTCATCCCCCACATTGTCAACACTCATCGGCTGCGCAACATCCTCGTTTACCTCTTCTTTCTTTACCCTGCCATCAGATATATCTTTTCTAAGAAGGTCTTTGATTTCATCCAGAACAAGATCCTCATTCTTTGCACTCGCATCAGTTTCCCTCTGTTGAATATCAAGGGATTCGTACTCCACCGAGGGAATCGAAAAGCAATTCCTAGAAGATAAAGACCGTAGAGAAGCTAAATTTGACAAAGTTTCTAAATCAGGCAATTCTAAACGCCTAAAGTAGTCTTTATGTTCAACCCAAATGCTCCCACCTCTCAACTTATCTCCTTGCCTAGAAGA